TTGGAAATTCTAGATTCTTGTTCATTCATTTTCGCTCTTTTCCTCCACTTCTCCCAAGATTTCATAATCTTTTTCCACCATTTTTGGATTCTCCCTGTTTATTATATAAGCAACGCCCAATTTCCTTCTCTTCCTATTCTCTTTAATCTTTTCTTTTTCTGCTCTTTCTTTACAGCCCAATCAACCCAAGAATGTGAAATTCTGTGCCCATGAAGAAAACCCAACCCAAACGACACCGTATTCCCAGGAGAGGACCTGGCGTTGCAGAGCTTGAGAAGATTTTAAAGGAGCAAGAAGGCGGCGACGGCGGCGGCAACGGCAACGGCGGCCAAGATCAAGCCGACATTTCATCCCTACCACCCTCTTTTTTCCAACATCGCCGCCGCCACTCTCCGAGTAATACTCCCTCCTCCTTAAACCCTCCCCGCCCTCCCCCACCCCCACCTCCTCCCCCACTTCTTCCACCACCGCTCACACGCGATTACGCTTCATGGTCAAATCTTCCCTTGTTCCCAACTCTTGATTTTATTCCCCCGGCCTTGCCAACCCCAACCCCCGCCGCCGCCGCCGTTGAAAAACCCTTGTTTCCAACAACCAGAAAATCCGACGCCCAAATCAATTTGCCTCCACATTTTTTCCCTACTTTTCAATATTCTGCCTCCTCTCACAATCCAATGGTGAGGCAACGTTAAATTTCAAAATCTTCATAAAGCTTTCATTTTTATTTTTTATTTCATGTAAATATATTCAATTTATGCAAAAAGTTCCCAACTTTTTTCAGATGAATATCATTCCAGGATCTGCCACATCGCCGGCGGCCAGATATTATCGTCAAATAGAGCACCCTTCAAGCCAAATATCAACACAATTCAACAACACATGGACCTCACCGGAGGAACAACAAAAGGCAATTACTTCTCACCTCTTTTTTTCTTAATATTTATTTTATTTCCAATCATAGAATTAAAAACTCGAAGCTTATGGTTAAATTTTTCTCTAAACATCTTTGTTATTAAATACATAATTTTGGGACCTATATTAGGATACAAGAGAATAATGACACTATATTCGCTAATTAACATATCAATCTTTCTAATTTTTTTAGAAGATTTGATATGATTTGTTCAAGGCTGATTAAGAAAATGCATGAATATTTAAAATATTTAAAGTGAATAATATTAATAATGATAATAATTCACAGATGGTAAGTGCAAAGAGGGTGAGACCCTTTTTGGACGAAGGCCATAGGGATCCAAATGCTGAGAGCAGAGCTCCATTTTTCACAAACATGGCCACCAAAGAGTCTTCTTCGTCGTCTTCATCGTCGTCGTCTTCTTCCATGGACATGAATCGCTCTCCATTCGATCTCGATTCAAACTCGAGGTACTCTTCTTTCTTTCCGGAACTCTTTATTATTTTAATGAAAAATTTCGGTAGATTTGGTTAATAAAAGTGTTCATAGACACAGCTACAGTATTAAAAACCAAATCTTTTTACAAAATATAACGGAAGAAAGCTATTGTTTGGTTAAATCTTTAAATGTTAGTTTAGAACCCAAAAATATTTTGCAAATAATAATGTAAAATTTAGAAAAAATTATCAAAATAGATTCATATCAATAATTTATTGGTGATTTGGTTTGAATTTGACGTTGAATTTGTGTAAAGAGGTACAAAAAGGGGGTTTGGAGGGGAGTTAATGAGGTGCAGCAAAAGAAGTGAAAGGTACCAATTAGCAGGAGAAGTCAGCCATTTGATGGCATTGGGATCTTCTTCATCAGCTCCAAATGAAGTTGCAGCAGCATTCAATATCCATCACCCCCAAGTAAGAAACATCCATCCATCCATCTTCATCATGTTCATCTTCATAACAAATAATTTTGACTTTCTTTTTTTGTTTAATTTCATTAATCCCACCTTGGGAAAGCTTTGAATTCCATCCATTAAACCCTAAACTTAATTAGGCAACCAAATTTCAATAAATCCAATCAATCCAACACCAAAATCTCTAAAATCCAACCAAAAACAAACACCCAACTCATAGCTACAAAATTTCAACAAGGAAACTTTTCATTTTATTTTCTATATACTACGACCCATTTGATGATATTTTTATGAAATTAACATGTGAAGAAATGATTTTGAAGGAAACCACGGAGGCTTCACAGTATAGAGATGGAGGAAGTGCCTCAGATTACAACAAAGTTACATTTAACTCCTCCTCCTCTTCCTTATATGAATCAAAGTTAAAGGGTAACAAAGAAATTGTGATCGGCTCTGGATTCGAAGTCGAAGCCGAAGCCGAAGCGGAAGGCATCGATTTAAGTTTGAAGCTGTAATAGCTGGGGAAGTAGGTTAATGTTTGTTTAGAAGAGAGATTTGGAATCTGTTTGTACCCAAAAAAAATATGCATACATACAAATTAAGGTTTTTAAATTCAAATATTTATTTGTAGTTTTAGTTCTGGAGAGTTACATTTGATTATGATTTAAACTCTCACGGTTTTTAAGGTTTTTTATACATTTATGTACTCTTAATAATAATCAATCACTATAGAAACATAATCATTAATATATAGATATACTTTAACAAATTTAAATGAAAAAAAAAATGAGCATCAAAACTGAAAGAAGAGTGATGATATGCATAGATCAATCAATTCATGGTAGCATTGTAGAATGAAATGAAATTAAGAAAAAGGTGTGCAAATTGGGAGATAATATGAGCTTAAAGAACAATGTCGTTAATGTTACATGACTGCAAGCAACGTACGAACAAGTGGAAGCTCCGCAGCTTGAAACCCAATGGAAGACTTCAACCCAATAAACAACTTCGTGTTGCAGAGGGATGATAAAAGTGATGGGCCGAAGCCTGTTAGGCACCCATGAAGGAGATCTGGTTACCCCAACAAGTTTGGAACCCCGCATTTAAATGAATTTAAATCAATTTAATCCTAGTTTAAGAGTGTTTAATAAGATTTTAAATTTTAAGAATTATATAGATTTTTAACTTTTAATTTTATGTTCATCTTCAAATTTCAAACTTATGTATATAATAGGTCATTTTCTATGCAAAAGTTCAATTTAGATTCATCATCTCCATGTGGGATGATTCCAAAATAAAGGATTTACAACGAAAAAAAAAACTTGGTTTGCATAAATTAATTTTCAAAATAATAAATAGAATTAAATGTTTTAAGATTGATTAAAAAAAGCTCCAAATGTTTGTTACTCCCAATTTTTGCATATAAAAAAAAATATAAAAAGTAATATTTTGAGTATTTTCACCACAATTTAACAAAATCCCAAGAACAAGAATGAACAGCGTAGCATACCTGCCATTGTTCGCAGCCAGCGTAGGTACGAAGCGAACCACAGTGTTCAGCAACAAAAGGAAAATACAGCCGATTAGATCCATGAGAGCTGTTGTTCAGAGAGTCGCCTCTGCAAGCGTCGAGGTCTCTTATCTCTCCCTCTTTTTCCCTCTCTATGCATTTCTGAGTCGCCGGGGTGAGATACTGCATTTCGCAGGTCGATGGCCGCACCGTTTCAGAGATTGGGCCGGGCCTCCTCGTGCTCGTCGGCCTTCATGATTCCGACTCCGAATCCGACGCCGAATACATGTAATCTACTCTTCCCGTCTCTCTTTTCTGTACTAATTCCATGCTCGATGAAAGCATCTTTTGTTATCACAAAGCTACTTCCTCCTTTTCAAATTGGGTTTCAGATGCCGTAAGGTCCTAAATATGAGGTTGTTTCCAAATCAGAGTACCGGCAAAGCTTGGGACTTAAACGTAATAACTATATATACACTCCTTGCTTCCCTATTCCGAAAAGCAAAAGCTTCGGGATGATTTGCTTTACCATTTTCCTTGATATTTGTTGCAGGTAATGCAGAAAAACTACGAGGTTCTATTAGGTAAGTGAAACGAGGTTCTCTAAAAACTTTGTTCCTTGACTGTGAGTTAGATAGAGTCAATCCACTTATTAACTATACCCGGTGGATGGCAACCAGTTAGTCAGTTTACACTGTATGGAATGTTGAAGGGCAACAAGCCGGACTTTCATGTGGCAATGCCTCCCCAAAGAGCCAAACCCTTCTATGCTTCTGTGGTCGAGAGGTTCGGTAAATACTACACCCCAGATGCGATAAAAGGTAATCTATGCTCTTCTTCCTTCCCCTAATTTCAAGTTCAGTCTCTTCCAAAGAGTGTTCTGAATGTCGTCTATGTTCCCTTCTCCTGTGGGCAGATGGAGTGTTTGGAGCAATGATGAAGGTAATCTCACTATGCTCAGTTTTGAATTCCAAGTAAGCTCGCTATTAACTGGATTACAAAATTCTGATATTTTGGTCACTTATGTTTGAGAAGGTCAATTTGGTGAATGATGGCCCAGTCACAATGCAGATCGAGTCCCAACCGTCTAAGTAAGCAACTCAACCAGCTTATGAGCCCTTCTGCCAGCTGCAGGGTGTTCTGGAAAATGGTAATTTGACAGTGATTTTCGTAACTTTCATTTCAGGAATATGGTTGAAGCTTCGGAAGGCTCCTAATAGGTTACTATTGAATTCTACAATTTAAGATCTGGCAGCGATTCTTTGTCGGCTTACAAGCTGAAGATTTGCTCGATGGGATGACAGAATTCTTTTCATCTAATAAGTGGAAATGTCCTTTCGTTGGTGCTATCTACTAATTTCTACCAGTTGGCCGTGGGGTTGTGTGCTGATTTACTCCTATGACAATATCGAAATTTGTTTCTCGTACCTTTCGATTTCAGAGATCAGAGCAAGCCGCAAAGGCTTTGCTAAGAACCCTTGATTGGTTTTAGACCTATTCAATTCTAATCCTCTTAGCTTAAACTTACAAAACATCAGCAAAATCCAGACTCAATAACCAGTATGAACTAATTTACAAGATGCAAATAAAGTACATCGTTGTCTTTGTATTCTCTGCAAAGACTTTTGGAGGGTGGTTAGCTCACGTAAAATAAACCCGTTATGAAGCATGAAGCCAAATATTTTTAATGTATAAAATATCCGTACTCTTGAATGTGCGATGAGCATTGAATATCCTAATCAAGTGGGCAGAGCACATTGGACTAATGCTATATGATCTACTCAACTTAGTTAAGATAAACTCTGAAATGGGAATTTTCTAACCTGTACATGACACATCTTCATTATGCCAAATATCTCAAAATATTACTTTTCTCTTCATCTACCATTGCCTTCGACAAGAGGATCGCTGCTGCTGCTAATAGGTCTTGACCATGCATATTATGAGATCTCTGAGAGCAAACATCTCAAGAAGTGATTTCATTCGAGACTTATGATCTTCTGGAGAGGATTGTTGCAGCTACAAATATGGCCTCTTTTGCACACGAGGAAATTTCCAACTGCCTGCGTTATGACATTTATCTTAAGAAAGGGTAGACATGAAGTCGAAAATCTACTTCATAAGATTTTAGTATATGTGATGCAACAAGTCAAGACCCAAGTTAGAAAAATCAACCTACATCCTCGAAAGCCAACTTGAAAATAACTAGATCATGACGTGATAGATTCAATCCTCTCGACTCTGACATGTTGCACTGAAAAAAAAATGGAAGAAAGGAGAACCTAAATAGCCACAACTAAGATAGCAGTGATGCTAGATATATTTTTCAGAGTTCTCACTCGTGTTAAATGTGACTCCACCTTGTCCCTACCAATTCTGTTGTTTGGACCTTCAGTTTCCAGATTTAACAAGGTTCATGGAGCTCATAGCAATTAAGGTCTCATATAGTTGTTTTAGGACTGATTGTAGTCATCGTCTATAAGGATAAGACAAGAACCAAATTGTCATGACCGAAACTCGTAGTAGCATATAAATCAGAGGTTTTTCCAGTATCGACAAAAACAGAAATAAACATGTTGAACGACAATGTAAATACAATGAAATTTGAAGTTAAACTACAAATTGACGTTCAGTTGTCACGCTTGCAAGGGTCGTGCATTAGACATGGAGAGACACATGGATAGTGGAATTCCATTCACTTCCAGCGGCAATACCAAAAGATCAGAGGAATGGTTCCTTAATTTGGCAGAAATATGCTGACGTGAAATATAAAGCTTGCCCGTGGGCAGGCAAACGTCTAAGCGTAGACATATTGGCCGAGATACACACACACACACACACATATATATTAAGTTTGACAAGTCATAAATAAAATGCAGCCAAATAACATGGAGACAGAAAGACAATGGAATCCGTAGAAGATAAAAGATGAGAAACTTACTTGTCCAATTTCCGCAGGCAATTAAAAACTGATATCAAATTCTTGCAAGTTTCCTCGACCGAACCGCCCGCCAGTTGTTCTTTGGAATCGGGGAGGCCTTCACCCATTTGCTTAGTGGAGAGAAACAGAAAAGCCTGAAGAATAATGGCCAAACTCAGTAAGGTTCCCGAACTAATTATGGCTTCTACTAACTACTGCCAATAGATTACAAGCTATTACACATAACATACGATAAGACAATCATTTAATCCAGAAGGTGCATGGCAGCAACTATATCTCTTAGTACTTTCTCCCCCCCCACCCCACCCTCCTCTAATAATAATCATAATGTTGATAAGGAAGACATCTGCTGAAAGGTCTATGCTAGGCGTTAAGGTTTAAGAGAACACATGAAAGCTCTCCAAATAGCCAAAAGATAAAAATAAAAGAGAGCGTATTGCTTTAAGTGTTGGCAATAACTGCCTTAAGGGATGCATGAAGCTGGAATCTTTGCCCAATCCCCAACCATCTCTTCAGTCCACCAAAAATCTAAAAAAGTTTAAAGCCAGAAGTAGGATTTTCAGGGTAGGGACGGTGACCATTTGAAACCAGAAGTTTCCAGGGCTGAAGAGCGTATACGAAATAATAAAAAGTACCCCCACTCAAATTTCCCAAAGGTTCAAAGAAGTACAGTCATTAAAGAGGCAACCCAAGTTTTCTCAATCAGCTGGCTGCACACTAAACACATCTACGAGGGTAAAGAACCATGGAAAGTGTATTTTTGTACTCTCTAATTTGCACTACAAAGCAATACTCTTCGTAATTAAGAGGCACGAAGGCCTATGCACACATCTATATATGATCTTGTTATCACTTCCGAAGATTTAGTACCAAAAAGTTCAGGAAGTTGAATAAAAAACGATGATTATAAATCTATAATGATATGTGAACCTTTAAAATAATCCAACAGATATTTAGCATAAATTGAAAATTGAGAAACTATATCTCATTCAAGTACTCATGAAGAACTAGTCAATAGAACATGGATTATCATGTTCCCACAATGGGTCCTTAACAGCTAGTATGAAAAACCTTTTCACTAAGTATTGATGAAATTTATCTCATTTTACAAGCAGAAAGCACCGACAAGACAAGAAGCTGTCAACATTGTAAATAAGAATTTCAAACATGCTGCAAAGTCATCAAAGCAACCATTAGCAGCATTGCAGTGGGTCCAATTACAATTGAGTTTGTTATACATGTGACGAGAAGTGAATCACCTGAAAACCATGTGCTAATAAAAGATGAATTGCATGTGCACCAATCTTCTTAGTAATACTTTTAGCACTGGAGCTGTTTGAAATACACTTCAATACTCCAGAGAAGGTTGCATCTTCTGCAGGAACATTAGACCTCCTAGTACGAACAGAAGGCTGCAAATTGCAAAATACATTAATAGCTGTATTGTTTAATATTTTATGTACTGTGTGTGTGTGTGTGTGTATGTTAGATAATGCGCCACAGCACCAGTACAATCGAAATTATACTCGGTAATTATTGCAGACACTTAAAGAAATAATTTGGGCTAATATAATCAAATACATCTATAATAACCGAGTAGGAGCATTATTAAGTTACTCTGACGGTGCAGATCAAAGATATACCTTGGAGATGTATTTCCAGAAAAATTGCACGATTATTTCCAGTTTCCATTTTGAGTCCTTGAAGGCCTGCAAACAAAAAATTACAAGATCATAATACTATTAACACGTTGAAGAACTTGAAGCATAGGACTAAAAATAAGGTGAAAAAGCCTTGACAAAGTTGTATGCAAACTGACAAGGAAATTCATTAGTAAGAGAAAATAATCATGAAGTTAACAGGGGAAGCATATAGATATTTTTGCTGCGTTGACAAATGAACCTCCAGTCTACACAACCTATGCATGACTCAGAATATCATGCAAGGAAAACAGGCTGTATAATGTTTCTCTATCACTTGCCACTATATGGTTCACTCTTACTGATTGGATAAATTAAGAAAAGCATATAGTTCCAAGCAAGAGAAGAATAAAATTTGGTGATGCAACCTGAAGAAATGGTGACAGAATGTTTTTATCATATGTCAGTTCATCTTGAATAATCTCTGCGAGCGGGGTTCTGAAATCCCACCAAAAATATTTTTAGAAAATAATCCCTGTTCTAAGAAGAGAGCATATACTGCAGGAAAAAGAAAATAAAGAAACTAGTACCTCACACCATCAGCCCTTGTAGTATGACCTAGCATATCCGCATTCTTTTTTGAGGAATCAAGCTCCATTACCTATACCAGTTCTCCATTCAGAGCAGTAATAAAAAATAGCAATACTTGGATGACCAAATTGCCAGAATACCTACCATTACCATGAGTTTCAGCGTGGCAGCACATGTTATCCTTCCAAAATGAAGAAACGCAGTGGCCAAAGCAGTATCAATAGCTTCATGTTGTTTCACCATAGAAGTCCCAGAATATGGGACAGCATTGTCATATTCAGCAAGATATTGACCCAACCCACACAGGGTAGTCACACAATCCTTCATTAATCCTTTGTAGTTCATTTTCCTTGAACACTAAAGAAGAAATAGAATTTAAATACAACTAAAATAGGGGCTTCCAGCATGCAAGTTGGTAGACCAAAAAGAAGCTTCCATTGTAAGTGCAATACAATAAAATGGAGAATCGACATGTGTATCATAAATAATAGTGTTACAGCAGGGTGTAAAAATTGTTGACATCATACCAGAATTGTGTTAAGCGAAGAGTCCCGTACAAAGCTCCAGATCATGCTTTCTGCATGCGAACAAACTTCTTAATTACCTAGCCTTTTACGAGGGGATGACTTATGGACATAGTAGGTTACCTGTGTACATTTGGTTTCGAGGCACAAAATCTCCTTCAAGGACACTGACAAGATAATGAAACAATAACATGTTACTTAGGACCTGCAACAAATTTAAGAAAAGTAGTTGGCAACGAGACTAGAGAAATGATTAAAGCTGCTTAAATTTCCAATCATCCCCTTTTAAGTTATATTATCACTTGCAAGGAGGAAAAAAAAAACCATGGAGTTCATATTTTAATAACTTATATTCAGGTCCCCTCGTGAATTCATAATTGTGGTTGCACTAACTCTTTTCAAAGACAAAGCAAGGAGAAAACCTTGGTATCTGGTGCTTGGAAATTTTCAAAATCGGAGACTTCAGCAAGGCCTTGCAGAAGTAGATGAAAACCCTGCGCACCACAGAAATTTCATTGAAGACTGAATAGTACATGCAGGAAGGATGAATTCCATAAGCATATCAATTCAATACTTCGAAGTTACAGTACATAGTCAACTAGCTCAATCTAAACTTTCTTTCGTACTGAAAAAAAAAAAAGAAAGAAGAGAAACTAGATGACAAGCACTTATAAGTTATATCAGTAAACGTGGTGCAATCTAGAGATCATTCAATCAGGCAGACAGTGTTATAGGGGGAGTTTGGAAGGCAAAACTGACAGGGGGATCAATTAGTCCGCCAGTGAGATCATTTGCGGTTGCCCTCTCACTATCTGAAATGTCAGTGCCTAGAACAAATGGACTCCAAGCCTACAAAAGAAACACAACAATTACTCGAAAATGAAAACAAAGTATCACGCTTACATGATTTAGAGAATGAACACACAAAAATGTAATGCTAGTAATACCTCCTGAAGCACAACTAACTCATGGGGCATACTGGAATCACTGGCATTCGTCATATACACTCTAGGGAATTCCTGTAGTAAAATAAAAGAGTCAAACTCACACATAATGCAGAGAGAGAAAGAGAGTTTGCTATGTACAAACCGATATATGGAAAAGGGATAGCTCTGAGTACCAAGTCTAACTCGTTCAAAAGCTGGCAACTTGTTGTAATCAGTTCGAGGGAATTCCCGAACCTCAAGATTTTGAAAATTGCTTCACACATTTTGCTTCGTGACAAAATTCCACGTAATTACAACGTCAGGTCAGCATGTTAGAGAAGATTATTATTACAATTTCAATATGTGATTTGAAACAGGAAGAAGAAGTTTACAGTGTCGGTGGCGATTTATTTTCTGGCAAAAGTGAAGCCGCACGAACAGCTTCGAGAAAAGCAATTCCTGATTATGAACATCTTGATCAATGCAACGAAAACGAAAACAAGTAATTTTCTTCCGACTGATACATTAGGGCTTCCATTGAAAAGAAGGTTTATTTTCAAATCAAGCACAACTGAAACACACTCCACAAAGAGTATTCACTAAAGAGTCCTCCAGATCATCAGAAGAAAATCGATTGCTCTTCTCATAGTTCCGAGCAGTTTTCAGAGTCCAAACAGAAATGAACAAAACTCAAATTCTAAAATGAAGATCGTACTGTCATCGTCCGCGTCTCGAGTGTGTTTAGTAGCTTCGGATGCGTCGAGAATAGCCAAGGTATTCGCCTCGATCGCCCCTCGAACGCCGCTGCTAGGTTTCTCCATTGCTTTGCCGGCCTCTGGTGGAACTGCTCACAAAAACGATAGCGAAGTTCAAAAGGAGAGGGCAGACCGGCCCGTGCTGCTAGTTGTCCCGCCAAATTCCCAAGCGGGGAATCCAGAAACCCAGAAAATGAAAATGATGTTTGAAATCTTGTGATTTGATATTAAATGGAAATGGAAAAGAGGCGAACGGTTTAAATCGGTCGAGGAGTGTTCAAAAACCGGTCCAAAACGAAAACCGAACCATGTGGACAGAGAATCGAGCCCGACCGGAGCACTTGCCTGGTTAGAGTTGATTGAGCTGAATGTAAACTGAGTTGGGCATGTGAGACTTAGAACACAAATGTGCAACACCTGCTAGTAAGTCCGCTGATTAAAACTTGAGTCACTACTTATACGAGCGACAATATGCTCAAGTTTCTGACTTACTTTTTTTAAAATATTTTGAAATTGATTAAAAAAAAAAAGCAATGTTACAAAATAATAAGTAAGAGTACAGAAAATTAGAAAGTTAATAAGCAAAAGATTTACAAACTAATTTATACATGGTAAGAAGCTTATGATCATATTAGCAGTCTTTGTACATTTTTAATCTCATAACAACTGTCGCTGTTCAACGTAAAATGAGTATATATATATATATATATATATATATATATATATATATACACACACATATGTATATATATACACGCCGATCTTCATCTTATTTTCCCCCTTCTTGTTTCTCGTCCTTCTCGAGCGACCTTTTATCTTATTACTTCATTTTTTTTTTTTTTCTCGTATCTAATAATAACTTATTCGATTGTTACATCACAACAATAAAATAAAATATAAAAAAATTACCCAAAAAAGAAGGAAAAATGAGTAGAGAAAGAAACCAACCACCAAATATTGCAGTTACGAAATTCTGTTGGGTGAAATTTTTTTAGTGGGGATATGTCAGAGTTTCCTGTCGGGTTTTCTTGTGGTTGTGTCGGGCGGCGGGAACCGAATGAAGGAAGAACCGTCGCCGGTGCGGACTAAATTGGGTAATAACTGAGGTACGGGGGATTCGGAGTGCTGGTCGAAACTAATGAAATTAGTGGAGGCGGCGTTGTAATAATCGACAAGGGTGGCGGGGGAGGGATCTGGGTGGTGGTGGTGGTTGGTGGCGGCGGCGGCGGTTTTGAATTTGATTTCTGATTGGAGGAGGGCGTTGTTAGTGGTGGTGGAGCTGCACTGTCGAGGCTGGGTTTGGTAAAAGACCTTGGAGACAACTACTTCGCCGTCTTTTTCTTCCTCGTTGTTGCCGAGGTGGTATTGGTGCATCACCCAGTTGGTCTTTTCGGGCTTTCTTTGCCGGCCGTAGTTGGTGTAGAGTACAAGGATTTTCTTGAATCCTTTCACGGCGCCTCCGACCAAAACGGGCCGGGTTTTGCCCGTCTTGTGCCAACGTGTCTCGTTGCCTTCCTCGTCGGTGTGGACTTTGCGGCGTTTTCTTGTTCCGGTTGTGTACGCCTTCGATGGTCGATGGAAAAAGTGCCGGATTTGCCCGTCTTTCCTTACTCCTGCCCAAGTATCAAACATTTTTTACTTATTTTTATTAACTCAAAATTTAGTGTATTAGACGAACACTACTCTATCAATGATATGATATTGTCCACTTTTGAGTGGAAGCTCTGATGGCTTTGCTTTCGGCTTTCTCAAGAGGCCTCTAATACTAATGGAGAGAGTATTCTTTGTTATAAATCCATAATCATTCTCTAAAATAACTGAGGTGGGACTTCCATCGTCCAACATATGAACTCAATGAGAGAGTTTGAAATTTAAAAATGATAAGATCACAGTAAATATTTGAATAGTTTTGAAAGGGAAGAAAATAATAAAAGAACCAAACATCATAATAAAATTTTAATTTAATTTTAAAATTTTGTTATATTTATAACAATGTCCCTAATAAGTTTTAAAATTTTGGATTTGGTATTTAATAAGCCATTAAATTTGTAAAAATTTAGAAGATGGTACGGTACCTGGAAGCTTCTGAGGGTGAGTATAGCAAATCCCATTTTCGCCTTCGAGAGTAGGGATGAACTCATCAATAAGGGGATGAAGCTTACGGGCATCAGAGATGGCCTTAGCCTCTAAGTGCTCGAGAATTTCTTGATCGGTTGGGTCAAATTTGACTCCAGCTGGTAGCCCAGGAAGATCATGAATCCCAGCCTTCAATTCAACATCATTTAAATTCATTCAACTAAACCATCAATAATGAGTATGATATCAATTTATAGACGTACCTGGTCTTGCAACTGAATGGGATGGCCACAGGATGGGCATCGGAGGGGTGCGGGGAGGACGACCGAGGCTAATTGGTGAAGAGAGGCAGACGACTCGTCGTCGTCCGACCCACTGCACCAACTCATGATGTCTCCGCTGCTTTGTGTTTATTATTGGAAGCTAAGCTAATCCCCCGTCCAACATAAGAACAAAAAGGAGCATATGATTGACTTCCTTCCGCTTTGGCTTCGCCTATTATTTGTGTTCTTCAACTTTTAACACCCAACACAACAACCACCTCGTTCAGACATGTCGGGGGAAGGAATTTTCCTTCTTTTTTATGAATTAATTTTGCTTCCAAGCTCTGAACTTGAGAGAGATTAGGTTAGACGTAAAAAGAGAGAAGGAGAGAAGAAGGAAAACAAAAAAATAAAGGAGTTTTCTAGAAATAGGAAAAAGGTTGCTTCGACGTCAAGTCTCCTCATGCTTGCGTATCTACACATACATATGACACCATCAAATTACTCATTATATACCAATAATTTTGGTTCAAAAGATAAGACTTTTAAAGTCTGTAAATATGTTTTGAAAAAAGAAATGATTCATATAAACTCTCTCCGTCTTTGATTTTAGTTTAGTATTTTTTTACTTATAAACTCATGATCTCTCAATAATCTCCGACAATCCTCTCTTTTAAAAACATACATTATAGCACCTCTACTGAGATTCTTTGTTAGCCAATGTGAGATTAGTTCTCTCAGTAATCCTTACTACAAACAAAGTATACTATAGAGTATCTCTCTCCTTCTTTGGAGCTCTACATAAGTCATGATTGTTGGATGGAAATGTCCCGTTAATTTAGGGAATGGGCATGGGTTTATAATCAAATAATACACTCTCCTCTCCGTTGGTACGAGGCTTTTTGGGGAAGCCTAAAGCAAAGCCATGAGAGCTTATGCTTAAAGTGGACAATATCATACCATTGTGAAGAGTCGTGTGACAATATCATACCATTGTGGAGAGTCGTGTTCGTCTAACAATGATATGAGACTACTACTTCCCATAATAATGTTCGAGAACATTGTGCGATGGGGAAGAGTGGAGATGGGGCAAAATGGGATTCTTTGAGAGAAGTGGAGGGATGAGTTTCACCATCTTTTAGATGAAAAGAAGGGTGGGTTATTGTAATTAGGGTATGGGGGATAGAGGGGGGAGGCAGCTGCAGTGTCAAAGTTGGAGTAAGATGAAAGGCTTCTTCTATTGTAATATTGAATGTACAAAAGGGGGAGGAAATTACGTAAAAAAGACTGCAAAAAAGAAAGAGTATTCAAATAATCTGACCTCCAATCATCCAACCTGTATACTTCTATATCTCTTCCTTTACGTCCACTTCTCCACCTCAAGCAAGGTATCCTTCTTCATCCTGTCCAATTTGTTTTAATACCACCTTTTTTGTTATTATTATTATTTTTTTTTAGGGGAATTTAAAAGTGGAAATAATGTAAAATGGATTTATGGAATGTTAGGCTTCGGCGTGATTAATGTTTGGAGGTTATTATTATTAGTGGCATGCCTAAAATTGATTGCTTACCATACCATAACTTGCACGTATTCAATTTTAGATCCAACTTAGTTTGAATGTTTGGATTGATTCGATTGATGTCTCGAGAATGTAAGTAAAGTTCACAACTCAACCCAACCCTCTATTTTTCATTGGGATGGATTGGATTATCGGGTTGTTCTTTTTTTTTATTTTATTATTTTAAAAAATCATATTTATTTACGATATATGTTACATTAATAACTACAAGTCACCTTGCATTATATTCTTAATTTTCGTAATCATTTTAAGAGTAAGGTAGAGTTAGGTTGAGTTGTAACCCTATTTTTTGATTAGTTGGATTGATCCGATAAAAAAATATTAACCCACAAACCGACCTAAATTTTTAGTTTTCTAAAATTTCTTCTCAACCCAAATATATATATATATGGATTGGGTTGTCGAAGTTCAACGAGTTCTCAAATTGTATGTGTAACAGTGGTATCATAGCTAGCGATGAGTCTGAATCATTATAAATGGTATCATAGCCAGACATTGGAAGTGTGCCAACCTTCTCGTTGTTTCCTGAAAGGGGGTAGACACAAGGTGGTGTGCGAGTAAAGACGCTAGTCCCAAAAAGGGTAGAGGATTGTGATGTTACACATTGATTAGAAAGGAGAACAAAACACCATCTACAAGGGTATGAAAACCTTTCCCTAGCATACATTTTATCGAACTTAAATATGAAATATGTCTTTAATGGTTAAAAAGTAATTTCATATCAATTTTATATTTTTAAACCTAATTTTCAAAATTCAAACTGATATGTTGAAGAATTAAAAAAAATTGATATTTTTTTTTCAAAATTTCTTAAATTGACAACTGAATTCAATATTACACAAACTAAATTGACTTCTGCCATACCCTTAAATAATGGTTGATTGATATAAATGATGGTTGACTAATTCATTCAAACGCATTACAAAGTTAATTAAGTATTGGCAATTGAGTTCCATTTGAGGATGATTCATGTATTTAGCGTACTACGTTAAAATATTGACCTACATTACACAAACCTAAACTATTATTTACACATTAATTTAATATTGTGTACGAGGTAACTTAAAAAAAATAGATTAAATATAGAATTAAACAGATTGTATTCAGTCCATCAACTCTTTTCTTCCATTGTCTACGACATCATAGTCTAGATGTTTCTCACACTTGTCATCGCGAGTAACCATCTAAATACACGAACACGCAGGAGTCTATCGAGTTCGTGATTACAGTGATTGAATCCTTAATTAAGAATGTTACATTAATTCAAATTG